ACAAATCATTCAGAAAATTTTGTATAGATTTTCATAATAGACTGATCTCAGCAGCTGAACCATTCAAAATCATGATGAACAGGGCAGAGTTTTTTCCTAGTCTGTAATTTGTCATTAGTGCTACACGTGGTACTAACAGATGGCCGATATAAACCAGTGAATCTTAGACAGTTGTATTTCCTCATGATAGGGGTCCCCGGAAGCACTTCTCTGCAAATCACTGGGGATAAAACCTAAACCCATCAGACCCTAAGCTCTTAACCTTTGGATTAATTGGTTCAATTGCGGTTGTGGACGTCAATTCATCACGTTTCTTAAAATGAGACAGAACAACTGTTCAAATCTTGCTGCTTTTCAACGGTCACCTAACTCAAGTCAGTTAGTGATGATAAACTTCAACATGAAAATTGTTGTAGTTTACACCAATATTACTTTGAAAAGTAATCATTTCTCGCTAGGCTTTCAAGTGCAATGACTTATTGTGTTTAAACAAACCATAGCGGATATGAAAAAGATGGTATGTATGGAAATAGTAAACTGAGTACGAAAATATAATATTCGGTGTACAGATCAATAATTGAATGCACTAATTCTGTCGAGATGAGAATTATTCTATAAGTAAACATTGAATAATCAACCTTATTTATAGATTATAATGTACTCTATAATGAATTGGTTAACTATTGTATAAATACATGTGTACTTTGAAAAAAGGATAGAATATTTTATGCAATGAAAACGTTTTCACGAATTATATCACTCCTTCTTTTAACAATTTGGAATTTACTACTCACAAGTAGTTGGAAAATATCAGTGAAACATGTTAGCACATATTTATCACTTGTGTATGTTCATGGCGGTAATGATGCACGTCTTAGTCATTATGATGCTATGAGATTTTGTCAAAAGTTGTCTGGAAATATCCAACTTATTAATGAGACAGTAATTCAGAATGCTACAAGACATAATATTTCCTTAAATGACTATGTAAATACAACAATGAATACTAAGTATCCCAATCAATCGACAAATATTCTGTACGGTGATTTATTATCAATTCATAGCTCATCTATGATACATGTATTAATGGGTTGGGTTTTAACCACAGAAGCAAGACAATTTTGGATTGGTGGATTAATCAAATTAATTGTACATGAATTCAATGGTCAACATAGACATGTAATACAAACGTGGACAGATCATACACCTGTAACTTTACGTTTTCTACATCATCATAGTCCTGTATTAGAAAATTTAAAAGCAAATGATATTGCTTGTCTATCAATAGATTATGCTAGTGGTAAATGGGGTGTACATTATTGTACTGAAACAAAATATTTTGTATGTGAATTATTGAGTATACCAAATAGACGAGCGATAATAAGTCGACCACATTCAGCTGTTACTCCTAAAACTACAATCACTTTACATCATAATCATACTATAAATGGAAATAATTCAAAATCAAGAGTCATAATTATTCATTTACATAGTCGTACCCATTTAGATAATATTATGAAACATATTAAGAATATCTCCAGTCCAACAGTAAATGTTACTTCATATAATACGAATGCAACAACAGTGGGAATGACGACGACTACACCTACAACTACCGTGAAGTTGAATGAAAATACTACACATCAAACACCTGGGAAGAAGTAAACTTCATGGTTGAATGTTTACATTACATGTTGTAAAGAAGAAAAAATAAAAGGTTTGTCGACCATTTCATTTGTTATTATTTTTGGAATAGGTATTGTATTAAATAATTATCTGAAAGTCAATGTAATACTAAAGTAATGAATGATGATTATAAGTGTAATATCTAACTAGAGTTTTTTTATTTATTTTAATTTTAACTTGTAAGTAAATATGAGCTAGCTTTACAAATAAACTATCGTTCAATAATATGACATGGGCCAATGAAAGAAAGTTGCCATGGCAACAGACAATATCTATCAGAAACAATATTGAACTTATTTTGATGGATTTTTGTTCTCTGAGCTGTATGGTTTGGTCAGAGAACAAAAATCCATCAAAATCATCCAACTGAGCTACAAATCTTCTCCATCATCTCAATATTGAACTTAGTACAAATGACAGTCAGTCCAAGTAGTTATTTTATTGATTAATATGTTCAAAGGAAATTATATGATGGTAACCGTGATATTAAAAAACAATAAAGAAAAGATAGTTCGACGAGAAAAAAGAGTGAATATTCAGAGGTAAAACTAAAATCTTCGATTAAGAACTTTACACACTAATGTATAACTTAATTGAATAATCCTAGAACGTCTTTAACTAACAATCTTCATCTAAAATAATCCTATTCTAGAAATATAAATTTTATGCAAACTCACCAAACTATATGTCATTTTATTTTCTGAACTGAATCAAAGTAAATTACAGCCTATACATAGATTCGATTATACGAAACCAATTAATCAGGGTGAATAAATTCGATGATGAATACACAAAGTAAAGTTGGACATTTATTTTTAGATTCATAACTCAAACGTGCATTTCGCTATGATCATTATTCTATATTTTCTATGAATCATAATCATAGGGTTTAACGTATAGCGGATTAAAGTCTAGTGTTACCGGCTACCGATCATAATATGTGTGTGAAGCCTAGTAATATTATCGTCAGTATGGAGACTGTTGAAATACATTGAAATCACGCATAAAGGTTCTGCTTTCGACTACTGCTTGTGAATGCGCACTCCTGAGAAATCCCATATCAGCATGAAACTGACACTCAGTGCTTCTATTTTTTTCAATAGTTGCCTAGGTTAAATCGGTTCGTGGTTTCAATGTTATTATCATTATTGTTTGAATAAGCAAAGACAAAGAAGCAGGAGTCATATCGAATGCTTACTAATTTAGTTCATTACGCAATGTTACTGATTCTTTCGAAGACGTAACAAACATCAGTTATGATAAATCCACTTGGTATTGTTTGCCTGAATCTTCCTATTGATGTTTAAGACTGCAATTGATCAGTCTCACGTTGGCATATGTGCATATTGCGAACCAACATATCAAAATTGATAAGAATGTTAGTATAAGTTTTGAATTACTCCAGTCCCTACTGAGCACTGAAGCAACACTTTTTTTAGATAATGAGTCCCAAACATTTTTACACCAGGAGCCACGCCATTCAGGAGAATCTGTGCTAAGGTTAGAGCTTTCACTAATCATAATCATGTTATCTGTATACTCTAAATCCATAAGTATATGTGCATAAGAGACAAAAAAGTTCCTTCTAAGAGTGGATTTATGACAACCGATTACTAATTCACCATCGATTGATCACTGCTATGTGTCAGGTTCTTTAGGGAGTATCAGTCACATCAACATTACAGGTATACCTTGCTGACGAGTACCAAATAGCACGAAACCCTGTTGATCACCTCCAACCACCATCTTATATCAACTAATAATTATATGACTCACTATTGGCTAACAACACAGTAGGTGAATATCAACAAAAAAAAGTTAATGATTGTGACAAGAAAAGAAATTGACAATGAAGGAAGTAACTAGTCGTCTAAATGTAATACGAAATAATCGAAACGAAATTATCCAGTTTTCCTAAAAATAATAACTTTGTTTTAAGTAAGTTAACTTGTTCTCTCCTTGACATCTATATCTGCAATTTAAGAACCATTATCTACATTTAATTCGTAACTATTTCAATCCACTTTGTAATTTTGATTTTCAACATTACAAGTGAAAAGCAGCTAATGAGAACCGAATGAAATTGAAATAAATATTTCCTGTTCGAAATTCATTCACTCATTTGCATTTTATCTGATGTCGATTCGTGATGAAAAACCATAAATCTAATTCTTAACCATAACCATCAACCGTGAATCACAATCCTCACTTTACAAATTGTTTTGAATTCCTCATTTAGTCCTAGTAGGTAGGTGGACATTCTCAAGGTCACTAAAGTCGTCCATAAATTATGGTCACAGCAATAACATTTACTACATCTGCACCTTTTCTTGTCCGAATCGTTACAATGAATATGGAGTCTCAGTAGATTCTGATCACAAAACGTTATCGGTAAACTATTTGATTAAGGTTTTTAGCCCTTGATGGCTTACGAATTCTAATCAATTTACTGACGACTATTTGAATGCTTTCAAGCTTCACTGGACATGATTAAGTAAAGAAATTTGAGGAAATTCAACGAGAATTCATTCATTAATGATAAAAGAAAGTTACTTACCTCAGTTGTTTAAACTAACTGATTAGTTTCAATATGATTTTCATGACCTATCCAACAGTGGAGCTAATCCTTGTCGGATAGAGACAGGTATCTACCTCAGTACAACGAAGTTGGTCGCGCAATTTCGCGGATTGTTTGATGTTAGAAACTATCACCATTGGATGCCGGCTCAGTGCTCCAGTTCGTTAAGCGTTCGCGCGTGAGACCGAAGGCCCTGGGTTCGAATCCCGGGAGCGGGATCGTGGATGTGCACTGCTGAGGAGTCCCACAATAGGACTAAATGGCCGTCCAGTGCTTCCAGGTTTTCAACTGTGATGGTCTACCATCAATCGGTTCATGATCTCAATCAAAAACTTAATAATCTCCACAAACCCTATACTAGTAAAATTGCAATCGCTGGATTCCAAAAAGACCCTATATTGATTTCATCCCCCAAAATTTGATCGAAAATCCTCCAAATATTGAGAATCTTAATAAAGTAACTGTTCCGGTTATAGTACTCTACCACTTAAGAATAAATGTTCAACAAATCATAAACACAAAAACTCAAAATACTAGCATAGGTAATAAATAGACAAGAGATGTTGACCTAAAAAGAGTTCTGAACTCATTAAGGGACGATTTAGTGATTGAATCGAATGTCAACTAGAAACTTGTAAATTTTAATCCAGATTCACGTGATTTAGTTTAGATAACTGAATATTATCAGTATCACCTAAACAAATACATTTAAAAAAAAATAAACTTGGCTCAAATTCGAATAGATAGACATGTAATTTGATGAGTTACATTATGTAATTTTCAAGTAGGCAAAACTCCATAGAAACAATTGAAATTCTTTCTATTCAGTTAAATAGAAATAGAATATTATGAATATATATTTTAAACAAAAATAAAGTTTTTAAACTCTTTTATAAATAAAAGGTATTGTATACAGATTTGTTAGGGGGGGAAAAAGACACAGAAGACATACATACATACATACATACATACATACATACATACATACATACATACATACATACATACATACATACATACATACATACATACATACAATACAACAGAGAGAGAAAAAGAAAGAAAGAAAGAAAAAAGAAAAGAACAACGACTGTAGAAAAAAGAATCTCCATTTAAAACAAAAACATCTTGTTTTTTTTTCTTTATTTGTTTATTTATCACTATCAATTAGTTTGAAATTTGTAGTTAATAATTGTTGTGTCAATATTTCATACATCATACGTTTACGTATTCCTGGCATATCATCCTTTGTAATTAGATAAGCAATAGAAAACAGGATATAATATAAATAAAATAAATTATGTATGAACATATGTATACATGAATAACTAGTGAGTATCTGTTATAGATGATTACACATATAATCAGATATTTAAGTCAGAAGTGGTATAGATCACATTCAAGTAATTGATAAATGAATCTAAGACGTTATCATTAAGCACTTCGTGTAGGGATTAATTATCTATACGATTGAGGTAATTAGAGTTTAATGAAGATTGAGAAGTGGTCAAGGTCATGTTAACTTGGTCCTAGCAGAATTTCATGAAGATTCCGATTATGTTGCAATAAACTGTTAATTAGTGAGAAACTTAAGTCGAGTAAGGTCTGCCTACTGACTATTTCCGATAATCTGACATGAATTACGTATATATCTTCTTCATTCGATATTATACACACGATGTAACCAAATATTTGTAATGATTTACAATCACATACATCTACTTTATACTGAAAAAGCCCTAAATGTCCACTAGTTCCTTGATGTTTCACTATAGATTTCTACACATTAGATTCGAAATTATCAAATCAAACCCTGGTAATGATACCTACAAACTGATAAATATATAAACCTAGTTATCAATTAATGAAACAAATATTATTCGTTCATATACATTTTTGTTATAATAAAATTGAAATTGTTAAACGGTTAGACCATGAATTTTAAAATATTTCGGTGTTAAACACATTGCTAAAAACTACATTATTAAATTTGATCATAGATGTTCTAGAAATACTGGTCACATCTGTTGAGATCAATGGGTAAATAAGAGTGAGATTAGACGCTAAAGGGTATTAGGGAATGATGGTAAATCAGTTGATGAGGTTGTGAATCTACATCGACTGAGATGATTGAGCCACGTTTTACACATGCATGAACACAGATTACCATTGTGCGCAATCCTGACCAGTATTGCAGATGGATGGAAAAAATTTAGGGGCGGCCAAAGCAAAATGTAACATCAGTCCATAAAGTTATTAACTTCTAATTTGAGCCATGTTGGTAGACACAGATTACTTGGTTGGGGTCCGCATGACTATCGTAACCAATGGTTGGAGACTCTGGGCGATATGGTTCAGAATCGATAGTAATAGCGTAGGTGTATACACTCTTTGTCTTTCCTTAAACCGTGAGATTAAAATGATTTCATGCCTTTATTTCTACAAACTAATTCTTCCTCCCTGTATCATATCTGTAAATGAAATCTTTTTTTACTATTATTGAAGTAACTGCTTATATGGATTTGGCGCTCATCTTGTTCTGCTAATGAGGTACGGCAACGTGAATCTGTGAATATATTTTCCTGGTCCTATTTTGTAGATGACTAACTGAAATTGAAACAAAGTAACATAAAAAACTGATTTTTCGATCTTAAACGTCTGACTGAACTTTATAAACTAAAACTCAGTTAAGCATACGGTAATCACTGAAATTCCTAACAGGGAAATTAGCGATGACAGAAATACTTTTATTGATAGTATAACCGACATATATTCACACAATAAACTAATATAACTTTTAAATTCACAATCAAACTCATATGTTGTTTGAGACTGTTATATACAAATACAATAATACAATTATTAAATAATATTTGGTAAGTATTAAAAATCAACGTCATAAATAACATGATAAATTAACAGAACATACACATACATGGTTTTGTGAAAATTGGATAACAATATGAAAATGAATAGATTACCTGACAAAATGTAAATGAAGCATCACGAGAGATGAATTCACCAAATGTACAGAGGAAAACACCACAATCGGAACCGTTGTACTGTTGAGGAACAGTGTCCTTGAAATAAATATTTTAAACGTAAATCAGTTATATGCTAGGTTGTATTATTATTATTTGAACACATAAACATTGGTACAAGGGGGCACCAGATATACGTGCACCGCACAAAAATGATTTAGTCTGTGTGTGGCCAGAAATACTGACTAGGTGCCCAAACCGAAACAGGTGGTTTTCTTAGAGGGGCACACACCAAACCTTTGACCTAAATGTCTAATCTACAAGGCAGTAGAGCGACGTTAAGAGATGCAATCCCATGGCAGCCGGTGACCAATAATTGGTTCATACTCCATTTGTTACCTCAGGATCCTGGAGCCTATGTGCACCATTGGTTTGGAATCAGGGTTTTCCAACTGCCTTAGATGGATCTTCCTATTCTACCAACCCGATTAAAGAGCCGGACATACCCTTTTCATCTTCTCGATTTCGTGAACAACACCCTTGCTACGAGAAGGCAATGAGTAGGACATCTCTGGCAGTGGCTGTGTCCGCGACAATATTAGAGCGTTTCGAGAGGGAGAACGGACTCTTCCCGCGACAGGCCGTACCAGGGCATTGGGGGACTAGGTTGTACTAGTTTTATACGCTTGTTTAAAAAAGCACTATTCTTACACAAGTGAATTGAGAATTGAATATAAAATATTGAAGTCAGTCAGGCATAAATAACGTTGGATATATGTGTATTGGCTAATGTTCTTATACCACATAAATACAGTGAGATGAAATCGACAAGATAAGTACCAAGGTAATTTTTAGATTTATTAATTAATTTAACAATTAATTCGCATAACTTTCAGGTATTAATTAGATTATCAGACAAATTAAAATTTTGTACAGCTTTTCATAGAACCAGATCAATTAGTATTTTTGTAATTGTAAGATGATTTTTACTTGATTTAAAAGTGTTCAATTTTTCATTATCATAATTAAACAATAATCATTTCATATAATGATCAATGTGCTTCTCAGGACGATGGATACTTTAAAGATAACAACGGTATGCCTTGAACAATGAACTATATGATAGGATAAGCTAATGCAATTTGATTTATAGCATGAGTTTGACATTGAGAGCAGTCATTTTTACAGAATATCATGTTCTTGTCATATACAGAAAAAACTAAACAACTTTCCACCATCCAGAAACAAAAAGACAAACTAACTGAACTCTTAAGACATTATTAAGAACATCTGAACAACACATAAAAGCTAAGTAATCAAATAACTCAGTCGCGAAACACCAGACATTAAAACGTTCTATACTTGTCGACTACTAACCTTTACTTATGTATGCAAGTTGAACGTCTCATAGATACATGCTGATCATAGCAATTACTTGTCAAATGATTCAAAACAAAAGATACTATCTGACCGATAAAACCGAATCAATAATGCAACTCATTCATCAAGTACAGATGTGTGTCATTGGCTGTGGGCCTCACCTTACGTGTAAGGGCTAGTGATACTACCCGGCCGCTCAAACCAACGTAGGTAAGGCGGAGGCTTGGACCTGAGACAAAAACTGCTGGAGGTTGAGTGAATTGACCAGTAAACTATCAACTCTCTGAAAGATTCAACTTATTGTGAACATAGATCAAATGATTATCTAAATTTATCATTTTGTTCAAAACGTGAGTGATTCAATCAGTTAACCCTCAGTCAGTTAAAGTCAACATAAGACTTAGCACCGATATATATTGATCAGAGTTAACATACAACGTCAGCGCAGTGAGTTGGAATCGACAGAACGAATATGAAACGAAATAACAGTGACAGTTAACACTAAGTAAGAGTAAAATTACCTCTGTATTAACGAGTTTCCAAGAATCCGGATCTGGCAGTTCAACATTTCTTTTGTCTAATGATTCATTTTTCAAATAATCCCTTCCCAGAAAACAATTTTCAGAAAAAAGAGATTACGAACAAGAATTTGATGATTCATGAAATTAAAACAAAACTATTCATTTGTGATATATTTAAGATTAAGAATAGTTAAAGGTTTTTATGTTATAGGGACTAGGATTTTGGGTAAAAGGAACTAAGCATGTGACTCAGTAGTCAATATGCTATTTGATTGTAACATTCCAATCATATGATTATTAAAACTAACTAAGCTACGTTAATTTCTATTGAGTCAATGTTTAATCAGATTTGTTTAGTTCTCAATAAAGAATAAAAGTACGAATCCTATATGTTTATTGATCATATTAATTGGTTATTTTCACTGATCAAATAAATCTATATCAACCAGTTTTTTTCTCCTCACTTGGATCGAGTAGTACACGCACCCTCCCACATATGGGTTTCAGAATAGTAAACTTCGTTACATCTAGCAAAAACAAAAATTGATTGCTGTAAAAGCTGAGAGGCGTTTAAGTTTGTGGTTAAAAGTCGGCTATTACGTAATCACTAAAGGTCTATAAGGTCAATCGTCACAGATATTCACTGGATAACGATCGATATAGACATTGCTTACAAGAAATTTTATGGATTTCAGTGCTATTGTTTGTGACACACAATGTACCTAGACCACAAAAAATATAGTAGAGAGATGTGCAATATAATCATTATCATCTATAAACGCCGTACCTATTTTTACTCGGAATTCGTCAAAAGTAGGTCGCTTTACATATCACCTTAACGGTAGACGAGATAATATCAACACAACCAATGACAGAGTCTAACCAATAAGTTTTACGACTAAGGAGGCTGAGAAAAGTATAAGTTTTACTAGACGAAAACTGCTATAATTAAATGAAAATTATTGAAATTATGTAGGTTTAAAATTTACATAATGAAAAGACTTAAGTTAAACAGTCACTAAAAACCAGGAAGCACTAGAAAGATGTTCCGTTCTAGTATATGAATCCTCAAGACTGCACATCCACGACACCATCGAGGATCAAGCTCAGAACTGTCAGGTTTCACAGCAAGGGCCTTACCACTAAGTCAACATAAAACTATCTACAAGTCTTTAACTTAAATCAATCCGCAATACTGCTGTTATTTTTTAATGCTACTGTTGGGTACCTGACTAAGATGGTCGAACTCTAAATGTCATTGGTTTTCGCCTAGAGACCAGAAAGATCTAGGTTCGGTTCCCGTTGTGGTGGTGAATGTGCACTGATGAGTAGTCCCTGTATCAAAATGAAACAACTTCCAATACCCCCTGATATTCAATAATTATCAAACTGAGGATAGTCCTTAATGTAAACTACAAAATACTATTGTGCGGAATTTTTCTATCTCTATACAGTGGATTAACAAACTAACAAGTTAAAAGCCTGGAATAGATTTATAGGCAAAGCACATTGAAACTATTCGATATAAATTAGTGAGGCTTTCTTGAAAAATAACTTATACACATAAAGCCTTAAGTGATACATAGCAGAAACGTAAAACTTACATTAACTGTTCCAAACACTTCATGTTACCAGAGCCCATGGAATCGTAATATGTTATCGTTTTGACACGTAAATCAATACACTTGAAAGGAATTATGTTGTTAAAAGAGAAAAAAATAAGTAAATTAAAAGACAGATGAGTTTAGAATTAAATCAGCAAAAAGTATCCAATAGATATCCAACAGGTAAGCCACTCAAACGTAGCCAAATGAGAAGGTCAATCGATGGCAATCAGAAGTGACCAGGAGAACAAGTGCATACCACTGGCTAAGAAACAGATTAATTTCCTAAGGGGTAGAGTTATATGTAAATAAATGAGTATTTGTGTATTTTATTCGGCAGCCTAATATACTTTCTCATTTACTCTTGTGTTCTCGCTCAATTAGTCAGTTGGGGGTGGGGGGTTATCGCGTTTATTTCTGAGACCGCCCGTCATAACAGGTATATTGCATTTGAATTACAATAGATTAATATTGTGATATACTACCATACATCATTTACTTATTAAAAGTAAGCAAAGTAAAACCAACTATAAGTCCATTCACCATACTAGCATTATATGATTACTTCACCATCTGGCATTCAAACCAACGTTTATAATCAATTAGTTATTAAATTTTGTACACAATCTATTTTCCATCAACTTTATGTAATGGTAACACGAAAGTGGAGAAATAAAAAATGATTTTGGCCACTTTTAGTACTGCTAAGATTCAGTGTTAATCTGAAGACTAGGCATGTCCTATGAATAAACCTCCATGGGAGAGTTGAGTGAATGATTTTGGATAATAGTAATTATAGTAAGATTGAGAGATTATTGTTACATAAAGCTATTCTACAAAACTACACATAACTGATAAATTTCTTCCAGTGAACTGGCTGAATTCATCAAAAAAACTAGTCGCTATAACTTTGGCCTTTAATCAACAAATAATGACAAATTGTCATTCTCAGAATGGGGATTTGTGGAGATTGTAGTAGGCTTAATAGTTGAATACATGATTCAATTTAAGCTGGACCACCACTGAAAACCTGAAAGCAGGATCGTGGATCGGTTGAAGTTAGGCATTAACACCGCCGGATGCCAGCTCAGTGGTCTAGAGGTTAGGCATTCGTTGGCGAGACCGAAGGTCTCGGTTCGAGTCCCACATCCAAGACCGTGGATGGGCACTTCTGAGAAGTCCCATACTAGGACGAAACGGCCGTTCAGTGCTTCCAGGTCTTCAATCGTCGTCTAGCCTAGATCGACTCATGAATTCAACTATTAAAATTTTATTTTTTATTTATTTATTTGAACACATAAATATTGGTACAAGAGAGCGCCAATATATATGCGCCACACAAAACAATGAAAATTCGAAGAGAGATAGAAAAAAAAACTAAGGACCACAAAAGGTAGTGTGGTCGTAACGATGGAACAGAAAGGTACAATCAGAAGAAATCTTTCAAGTAAGGGAGACAACCACTTTTTATGAAGAAAGTAAAAGAAGGTTACAGCAGGATCGCCACTGGCTTCTATTCTGAGCCATATCTGATAACGTCTCTAGCCACTGTGTAGCACCATCTCTCAGACCCCAATCAGGGAGTCGTGAAGGACCGACAGAAGCCAGTCCTTTGCAGCTTTCTTTCATACCACGACACCATGTCATGCACTGACCACCTCTCCGCTCTTTCCAACCAGTCCCAGAGTCGGCAAATAATACACGACGTGGAATTCTCTGGGACGACATTTCCTCGCTCCGATCAACATTCAATCAACTATTAAAAACTTAACACTGAACTACAAGTTTACACAATTGGACCAGTTTGGTAACGAATGTCCTGGCTGCAGGTGAAGGGTCACCATTATAACTTTGTGACGACCTTTATTCAGGTATGCTAAGATGGGTAGTTTTTGTCCCTGAGGAAGTCCACGGACTATCTCTTAAAGCTCTTTAAATTCCACTTCACGGCTGAGGGTTGGAGAAGTCCACACAATCAAAATGATATCGAATGCCTACTCATTTATAGACTATGCGAGGAAAGTTCTACTCACTGAGTTCACAGAGTATAGGTGGTTTAAGGAAAGTGAGATGTAAAGCGAACGCATGGCGCTTAAATTAAATTGGTGAGTACTGAGGGTTCACCTAAAAATGAAAAACCCTAGTTTCAAACGAATGATGTAGATCAGTTGAAGGGCCCTGAAGAAACAATTAGCGTATGTACCTATTTTGGTCACGATCTAATATAAGACTGCGTCTTCTGACGTTAATCTACTACCTTGTGGATGAGACCTCAAGGTTAAAGGATTAGGGTGTAACTCTCTGAACAAAACAGATTCGGAACTTTCAGTGATGAGTTTTTATGTGACATTTAATGCAATGCAAATGCAAATTGTTGCTTCAGGACTGGTCTGCGTTAACACCTGAACTAATGATAGGGAGTGAAGTAGTCGAACGCGTTGACAACTTCACTTATCTTGGAAGTCTGATCAGCCCTAATGGGTTGATATCGGACGAAATCTCAGCACGGATTCGAAAAGCTCGTTTGGCTTTTGCCAACTTACGTCACCTGTGGCGAAGGCGAGATATCCGTCTATCAATAAAAGGACGAGTATACTGCGCGGCAGTCCGTTCTGTTTTAATTTACGGTAGCGAAACATGGCCATTAAGAGTAGAAGACACTCGTAAGCTACTAGTATTTGACCACAGATGCCTTAGAAATATTGCTGGCGTCTGCTGGGATAATCGGGTAAGTAATAGTGAGGTTAGACGCAGGGTATTAGGGAAGGATGGTAAATCAGTTGATGAGGTTATGAATCTTCATCGAATGAGATGGTTGGGCCACGTGTTACGTATGCCTGAACACCGATTACCACGACGTGCAATGCTATCCGGTATTGGAAATGGTTGGAAGAAAGTTAGGGGCGGCCAAAGCAAAACGTGGCATCAGTGCTTGAAGTCACTAACTTCTAGTCTGAGCCATGTTGGTAGATGCAGACTACTTGGTTGGGGTCCGCGTGACTATCGTAACCAATGGTTGGAGACTCTTGGTGACATGGCTCAGAATCGATCACAATGGCGTCGGTGTATACACTCCCTGTCTTCCCTTAAACTAAGAGATTAAAAGCGCTTCATATCTTTCTTTCTACTAACCAATTCTTTCTTCTTGTACTATATCTCTATATGCAATCTTTCTCTTATATATTACCACCTTTTACCTAACCACTGTTATGAATCCGGTGTTCATCTTGTTGTGCTGATGCGGTATGGCAACCTGGACCGATGCACACATGTGCCTGGTCCTACGTTGTAGCTGACTGATGTGACATTTAAAGATAATGACTGGCTGCTTAGAATGAAATACGTGAGGCAATAGTGTTTATATCTAATACTTAGTAGTAAAAAGTAGGGGCAGCACTTAAAACCCTGCCATTCGATTATTTACTTACACTTAAACACCAATGCATTCCTCTGTCATGAATTGGAATAAGTACAATATCTTGATCAAATAATTTTGATTGTCGTGTCCAACGTCGCACTCCTGAATAACCTCCACCTATTGGTGCTGTTAACTTTGCATAAAAAAATGTTGATAAAACAGCGATACGAGGAAGATTTGTTTGATGTTGACTTCGATGTTGTAACAATTGTAAGTAGAAATTGATTACCTGTGAAACAAAGTAAGAAAAATAATCCATAAATTACGAGTTTCACAAAAAGCTGGGATATTTTTTAACATGAAGATGAAATGTATGATCTTGTATACTAACAATACTTAAATTACAGAAGAAACGTTGCTAGCTTAATGAAACTTAGAAAATGGAATAGCTGAAAATGTACAGGACGTTTTACAGTATGTTTTACGAGAAGATAGTGAATCAATGCTTTATGGAAAGTACTTCGGTAATAGTAAGATGTAAGTTACCAGACACTGGACTGCTTTGGTCCGGGTACCCGGACAGTATTCCAGCCCTCACAAGAATCGAATAATTTATGTGACGCATATCTATTTGATACCCCCTTGTACCAATGTTTATGTGTTTAAATATACAATAAATAAATAGCCACTGGACTACCTGATTTTAGTGCTTTATTGAAGGTGACTATAAGTTAAAAATGATTCAGTACAAAGGAATTGAACTTCCATCAATGAACTGTATGTTTGATTATTCATACTAGATCATGTTGTTTATAGAAGTCTTCAAATTGGAACGTGAATGTACTAGAATTGATTGATTAGTCGTTAAAAGATAAATTAATGGAAAAACTTTTCTGCACTTGCATAAACCTTGAAATCAAGATTTTTAAAGACAGCTAACGAATGAAGATGCAGATGTGGCATACCGCGATGGATATCGAGTTACATCACACTTAAGATTTGTTACCATAAATTACGTTTATCAGACAGGCTTGAATCAAGAAGTTTACATTTTGCCGAATGCTTTGGACAAGTATAGGCAAAAGCCTCAGGCATTGATCACTGAATAATTGCACAAGCAAGTGGCTATCAGGACTCAGTAGCTAAGTGGATAATGCGATGGCGTTTGAAGCGAACGGTACTGAGTTCGAGTCCCAGAGTGAACATCAACTCTGAGATGCAGGTACATCCAGCTGACGAGTCCCAAACAGGACGAAACGCGCGTCCTGGATTCCACTGCTAGCCACTATCTCTGCTTATAATTGCAAGTTAGTTGTTTATATTGCTCTACAGCTTCGTGTATTATCGCTTTACTGGCTAGATTTACAAAAAAACAATAATTATCCCAAAATATAATCTGAGGTCACAATTAATTCATAAATATGAAACTGACCATATCGCTTAACCAATTTGTTCCAGTTAATGTCATTAATTCACGACGTGTAATAACTAATCTAAATTTATCTACAAGTACTTCATCTGGAGAACCAACACGAAGAGCTGCTTCAATCTCAGCTAGTTGAGGTGCAGTTAAAACTAAGAAACAAAAAAACAAAATACAATAACGATAGCAATAAAATGTGAAACTTCATCTTTGAAATACACTTTTGAAAGTACAACACTATCTTCATGTTAATAATAAAAAGAAGTAGAAAAATAAATCAACAATCTCTACCACATACAGCTATGCTTAGAAAATATTGAACCATGTTTACTTCCTGTAAACATATATTAAATTATATTTGTTAAAGTAGGTTGCTTAAGTAATGACAGTCTATAGGAGCCAGTTTTACTTTCTGGTTGCCATTGGCAAATGTAATGCCAGGCGAACGGACACAATGCATTACTGACTAAATAACACTAAATCTACCTAAATGAATGAGACTTTGCAGGTGAATCGTCGTTAGTCTAATTTTATTAACACTACAATGGATACAACATGCGAGAAAACAAAGTCGCTCCAGACACACACATATATAAATGATATACATGTGAAGGATGGACGATAACTGACAGATTCATTCCAACCTTATTACTATAGTAGTATTCATACCGTGAACTAAATAGATAACTGATAGTGAATTTTCATAATTTGCACACCATTAAGATTAGAATTAAATGAACACTATAGACTAATACAAAATAGACAGAAAAAATCATACCAGGAAGAGCTGGTACTTTGGGTTCTTTAACTTTGACAGGTTTATATGGTAGTTCAATGGGAATAGGTTGAGGTACTAAATATGGATCTTCCAGAATAGGAGGTGTTCTTAGTAAACAAGCAAGTCTCTGTTCAAGATTGTCAATACGCTCTTTTTCAGCTGAAGCACGCTGAAATAATGAAGCGATGAAATGAAGTGTTACAATCATAAAAATTAATTATTTATAAAAATTAAAAAATAATCTTGAATAGTCTAATGTTTGGTTGATTCGCTTAATTTTAAAACAGCAATGCACTATAAAATTAAAAAAACATTTAACACACTATGTTGTTGGATGATGTAAGAATTCGAACGCGATCCATTGACCATCAAATCGAGATAAATAGAACGCTAGACAACAATACTACTTTCAAGCCGAGTTAATCAGTAGATTCGTTCAAGGTCATATAGCTTATTTTGAACAACTAGAACACATGTTAAACAACGATGGAAGATAATTATCCTTAGGAGTAAAATGATTGAACCAGGTCATAAACGCCTATTATATTCCTTTTAAAAATGCTTTATTTTATGGGCGTACAAAACTGAATAACTTTACTACAGAGTTGAATTTTGTATTTGGATAATAGAAGAGCTTCTGCTCGTTTCTATCTATTTATTGAGTAAAGAAAGGAGGAGGAGGAGAATAGACATAAGAATTGATATCTTATGGAATTGATCAAAAAAAGCCCAGATGAATTCATTATGTCCAACAATCCTTAGGCTTTACTATCAATCTATCAGTCGGTTATACACAACGTAGAACCTGACAAATATGTGGATCGATTCAAGTGTGGTGTGTGCTACTTATATCGACATAAGTAGTATATGATTTTAGTCGTGAAACAGAAGGTCTGGCAGCAGAAAAACAAGAGGGTCGAACAGTAAAGAATGGAAACAGGATGCAATTTGTGTGAAAATGCAAGAACAATGAAGTCTGAGTCATTATGAGACAATTGATGGACATTTTGCAAATTAGGCATTTACTTTATGATTGTTAAATTTTATTAACAAATCCTGTATTTTTGTGTTGAATAGATTCGATTGTCCCCACTAGTGTTCTTGTTCACTACACAATTACCTATACTATACTACTACAATGAGATAAAATTATTTCAAGACAAACCGCAGAGTGTTAGGAGTAGTAACGGCATCGGTAGTCGAAAAGATTCAATAAAGAAAAAAAGAAAGGTGAAAAGGATTTGGGCACTAAGGTTTTAAAGAAAGACGAAGAGTGAATGAACCTAGAATAATCCGTGTTACTAATATGAATAAATTATAATGTTTGTTAATAAATAGCTCGATATCTTCCATATATATTTAGTTTCCCAACAACATTCTTGAAGTATTCATAAAGCATAATTAGTATAGAAATATAGTACTTTAAAAAAATTGCCGAAGGTTAATGAGTTACGATCTTAATTATGTAAATTTACTTAGTGAAAATCTGAAATAAAGAGCCACAATAAAACAATAAATCAGTTATATTATTAATTATATTAACCCTAAGTTGTACTTCATGTTCAATTCAAAATTGAACCTCGAGATGAAGGTGTATATTCTTGAAGAATCATGAATATAGAAATAAAATGTGATCAGAAAACCCTATTAAGATTAACCAAGGTTGTTTCGTTCAGTTAAATAAAAATGCAACAGCACCTAAATTACCTGCTTCTCCCAAAATCGTATGTTTGCTCTCGCCAACTCATAGTCACGTTCACGTTCATTCTTTTTAGCCTGATAGCTTGAAGTCAAGTTGTTAAGCCAGTTATCCGATAAGTAGGGAGATTCTGCAATACTTTCAAGCCACGCACGAGTTTTCGAGTCACTGGTATCTGAAGATGGGATAGAGACAGTTTGATGATTTGTTCCTAGTAAGAGAATTGGATAAGATTGTAAGAAACAATCTAAATTGAAATACAATTAACTTTAGGGCGAAAAAACTAAAGGTTTTTAGTAAAACTTGCATTCTTAGAAGTAAAAACAGTAGTTTGTGTGTCGTCAGTTTTACAGCAAGCTGATTACAACAGCCATATACATGAATAAATAAAGCGCAATTTAAGAGAGGATACATTCGCCACTACTTAAATTAAACAGCTGTCAGGTACATCTCCCTTAAGTGGCTGCTCCGAAAGAATGACGAGATCAAGTGGATAAAATAATAAAGTATTTGAATCGAAGATAACAAGAGATGAATGTTATTCTGTTAAACAATGAAAAAATAATGCTAATTGTGAAAAATTCTTAAAGTTTTAGAGATACGGAGCTGAGATGGTGGAGGTTTGTAGTTCATGTGGATGGTTTTGGTGGAGTTTCTAAACATTACCAAAAGAATAGTGAAAGCTCCACGATCATACCATACAGCTCAGAGAACGAAACTCCACAAGATACGAAATTAAATGACTATGCTATCATAGGCAATATGGGACCCGACACGTGTACATCCATTCAAGTTACAACACAAAATTATCAGAGAAATGAAACTGTCAAGGCAAATCATAGAGCAGTATAGGTAACAACAGTATTGCTCTTTATTTAAAAAAACAAGATATCAGAGATACGGTTCAAGAAAAAAATATGGATTGGTAGAATAAAGAAAATTTTATAGTGATTTAAAAATTTAGGATTTAAGGGAAGATAAAGAGTAAGTCCACCTGAGTTATTGTGAACAATTCTAAGCCATGTCACCACTGGTTATTATAATCACACAAACACTAACCAGACACATGTATCAGCTCAACCGTTAGTGTCCTGATCCCATGTCTTAGTTTGGACGCCCCTTGTTTTCTTCCAACCTACTTCACTGATCATTATAATGCATCGCAGTAGTCGATGTATAAGCATTTACTGACATCACAACCTGTGTATCTGGTTTCAGTTAGACGTAGTGTTTTAGTACTTAGGTATTATTCATCTCGTCCCTTTTAGCAAATCATTTGTTACATCTGACAATTCCTCAGAAATCTCTTTAGACACCAACTGTACTTCAATGAGAAGTAAAACTAAGCAGCATTTAAAGTCGTGACGAATATTCAACCGACTGAATCATTAATGCAACCTGATCCATTAAATACTTATGCAAATCTGTGTAAACTTAGCTAAATCAGAATAAATTAATCCGATCTTCTTGAATACCCTTATTTGAATGTCGTATTCAGTAACAATTAAGCAATAACCAGAAATTATTTACTAAGGTATACCTTTCAAAAGAATCATGAAAGGAGTAATAAATTCGCACCTTAACTTTTGTTGCCTGATGAAATCAACCTTTTTTCGTCAAAACATCATCGAACTTTAAAAACAGTAAACTTACTAGCGTCGTCAATTCGCTGGATTCGGTTCCTTGGAAGGATTGGAGAAAGATTACATCTAAAAACAAAATAAATAAGATTTGGAAAACAGGTTAACAAATGAGAAAATTAGTTAATTAACTTGGAGGATATGAAAGAACAAAAAACTCAACTATCAGACTTTCCAAACACGTAGAACATACTGCAACTGGCATCCAGTTGTTCATTATCCACTAGAAGCCAAAATGAATGACTTTCACTGTAGTTCAAACTTTGACTCAAGAAAACTATGGCTAACTTGAAGAGAAAAGGAACAATAGGACCCGATGAATTAATTCCATGAGTCTAAAGAGATGTTAACTAATACGATTACCAAGATTCATTAAGAAAATAGGCGAATTTCACCCGTTGTATTTGACTAGTCTTGATTTCTGGTTATAAGAAAGAACATAAGGTTGTGATAACTACTGAGTTATCACTATCCCAATTAGTTTATAAGATAAAAGATTCCTGATAAAACGTGTAATATTGAAGAAGTTGGAACCTCTGGACCTATTATATGGTGAACTATTATTATTTTTACTGTAAAATTATTAGGTAATAGGTTTATGGTATTTTCATATTGCTTCTGATTAATACAAGAAACTATCGATATGAGTCTCTTTATAGTAAACTATCGTTGATTATTTAGTCTTTCTCTGCCATAGTCGCTGAGTACTAGTCAAACAAAATTTATTAACTTTCACCCCCACCCCTTATTTGGTCTTTTAATATTTATCCCTTACATAATCTTATTGATGTTCACATTTATCTGGCTTCGCTTCTTATCATTTCGAATGATTATGAAACCAGTTATGAATTTCATTTTGCTTACACAACTCTTTATTTTGGTTGATTAGTAATAAATATAAAAAATTCTACTCTACATTATACAAATACGCATCAGTCTTAACTACTTTTGTTCATATATTTCGTGTCTTCCCTTATAATGATTTCGTTTACGTCTCGCACATTTGTCTAAACTTCGCAAACTTAAGTATATTAAGCATGTAATTACAATTATTTTAACAGCTGAAATTTAAAGCTATATACAGTTGATGAGAGGCCGTCGAATAAAATAATTTCATCATATTCTTCAAACCTGACTGTTCCTGCTCTGTTTAAATTTATCAAGGGATATGGTTGCATACAATTTTATTTGCTTACACAGGTAATAGTCATCCAGAAGCATGTTTATGAAGACTTATTAATTTTCACTATATCTGCCTCACTGTTCAACATCATCAGGTTCAAGACGGATATCAGCGTAATTACGGAAGTTTAACACCATGTAAAATATGAAGATCAGTGGATGAGATAATGGTATGAAAAAGGTATTTAGAAAACTTGGACAACATTGTGACATTCTACAGATTACAGTTTCAATAACAAATGGAACGAATTTGCCAGTTATTAAGATGATAAACATCGAAACAAACCAGTAGTGACATAAAAGTATGACTTACTGCCGCAATAAAGAATATTGATTATCTTTAATTTCGTCAAGATTTATAGTGATGGGACCACATGCATTATTCGTAGGTTTGCCAATAGGAGTTCGGGAAAATGATGACGCCTTATCTAATAACCGTTGATATATCTGCCTTTCAGATGAGATGTGATTTTTTCCTAGAGATGACTTTGTGTGACCACTAAACGGAGTAGAGCTGAAAACGGATGACTGCTTCATTTTTTGCGAGTAGGTACGATTATCGGATACAAAATTTTGTAGGAAATAATGACAAACATCACCAGGCCGATTAAATGCCTTCAAACTCACGGATGGTAGCTGAAACATAATTTACCGTTAGGGGATGCTGAGAATATGGCATGATAAAATACGTGAAATATTTTGAGTTTGAGCGGATTACTTTCCATTATTTAACATCTTTCTAATCACTAGATGATGACAAGAAACGATCAAAGCAGGAAAACAATGCAATTGAAAATAAGACTACTGTTATGGTAGATACCAGATTAAGGTGTACAGATGTAGTAGATTTGGAAGAGTTAGTAAGTGCAGTGATGATAATGATGAATTATCTGAACGTTGACTAACTTTTGGATACTTGGCACCATAAATAAGACCATATACCTTTAGGTATCATGTACAAGTGAACACTTGATCGAAAGTGTCTTTAAAAAAAGTAAACGCATAAAATCAGGATGGAAACTAAACTATCAGCTTGAAATCTTTACAATCAAAAAAGTTCTAAAATATTAATTATTTTCCTTTTTTTAACTCAAAACTGGATTTCAGAATTACTTGGCATAGTTTAGATTCATTCTGAGACAGAATCTGAAAACAAATGAAAATAATCACGATTCGCGTGAACTGACAGTCATAGTGGATTACCCATCAACGTATTTTATGCTTCAGATGCAAACAAAAATGAATATTATATTTAACATACATACATCCTGTGGTTTACATATGCGAAACTTGGTCGCGTTATATTTTTGGATTCCATCTGTCCGCTTCACTACGCAAGTCATCTCTATTTTCCCTATATGACTAAAAGTTTGCCATAGCTTTTTCTTGACCACTGGGCTGCACCATATTAAAAAATATTACGATGTCTTGCATAAATATCATCTTGATATAGGTTAAACGGAGACATGAACTAAATATTGATGTGAAGTGGTGGGAAACCTAGTGTTTTTTTGAGTTTCATAAGTGATAACGCTCGCGAAAAACCAACCTCGAAGGCTAATTTTTATACATCGAAAAGTACATCGCACAAACCACATCTAACGGAAATAAGATGTGGTCCAAGTTACCGCACTTTTAGGAGGCACAAGAAACAAAGGAAGGATGAGGACATCAAAGTTAATACGATAAACGGCGATACCCTAATTTATGGACGAGCCAATCAGAAGCGTTCGAGGGATTTCAAGGTCACAGAGCCAACTTCAGTACTTAGTGCTAATGTATGATCGGTTTACAGAGAATTTTATGCAAAACGTGATAATTGAGCGACTATAACAAATAAAATAGCGAGACTATAATTTGTGAACGAATCACGGATTTTGGTGCGACTAAATAGTTTTGGCATTATAGCTGACGTCAGTTCGTGATGAAAACCCTATACATAAATCCTAACTAAAGCAAATTATGACAATTATCGCGAACTGGATAATAAAATTACAAGTAACACTGGCCTCAGCTAGGTACTACAATATATATGGATGTTTGGAGAGCGTACAAACTTCTACACAGGCCTGGTTATGTGCATCGTGTCGTTATTCACAAGTAGTATTTTGTGTACTCAACAACCGGAGTGCACACAAACGATATTGTAACTATGTGGTCGAGGCTGAAAGAGTTTTTGCTATCTTATCATGGTTCGAGAGACCGGTCATTCTGTAGCCATAGGGACGATTTCTTCTACTGCATGCACTACGATTTTAGAACCTCCGAACCTCTTTCTTACCTTGACAAGTTTTGGAACCATGTATAATAGGTGTATCTACTTTATTTCTTTGGTTTTGTATAATAGATTTTTACTCTATAATGACTTTGCTGATTGACTAATATTTTTCAAGGTCACTTAAGATTCGTTCATAGGTCGTCCATAAATTATAGTCTCGCTCGATAAACAAGTCGGAAAATAAGAGATAAACAATAGGAAACTGTAAGTTCCGAAAAGCGATTTAAAATGGATATAGTTAAATTACCGAGAGAAAAATTCATTACTTATGAGCTGGGGGTTAACTTATTACGTAGGAGTTTAGCTAGGCTGAAAGGTTAACTCTATGGGACATATATGATCATAATGTTTTGACAAGCCATATCTACAAAATAACAAATTTATCAAAAAACGACCTGTATATTTCGTCTAATGGATGATCACAGTGTTACAAATGTTACTCCAAAATCAACCACTCTATATTTGCGATTAATTAACACTAACTACAATTCGGTTAAAAAGTTAAGTTAGTAATCAAATCAATAACTGCGAAGTAGTCTGCAGATCCTTTGCTAGAAAGAAATCTGACGCATTGGCTCTTTAGGATGATGGTCAAACAAAAACAGGAGATAAACTTTAAACCAATGTTACTGGATGATAAGACACAGATACATACTGAAAGGTATCACTATACTACTCCAAAACCTTATATTTGTTTGTGAAAAGGATACTAAGTAAGAATTCATCCTGAATGACAACGAATATCATCAAAGCCAGGAACAAAGAACAAAATCACACCACTGAAGTGATTTCTGCAAGCGACTTAAATCTTTCGAAACTACAAATAAAATCTAAAGATACGTAATGTATTAGAAATTGAGGCTGATAGGAAGACATAAATTTCTACCGGGATTGTATTTGATGTGAATACTCGCAAAATCAGAGATGATAAATCAAAAATACAGTCATTTTGAACTTCTTACTAGATTTCTAAAGGAAGAACCGTTGTAAGTTGTGATGTTGTTGCTTTTGTCTTTCCAACTAAGATCCCGGCAATTCCGATTGAAGATTCGCTCGTAAACACTTGAGACACGAGATGAGCTAGAAAAAAAGTACGTCTAGAGCCGAAAATGTTATCCTTACCATAACTTTATTCGTTTCGTGTCAGGATAAAGCGGTACTTCATCATCCAAGTCACAAACAGGGAGAGGAGCTCGGAAGCAGAACCCCGCCTCAGTTTCCTTCATTGCGCCTCAAAGGTCATGTCAAGGTTTAGAACTAATGTTTCAATATATAATCTTTCTGGCTGACTGGTACCAATCAGTTGAATTATTTTCACTGACATCATGATTCCAAAGAACAGCTCAAATTTTTTCGCAGCATAAAGTTAAGCTAATACAACTGGTCATATCTAGCTTCAACTACGCATTCAGTTTCAGTTTGAAAAGGACAGGAGATTTGATAACCTGTGTTTGTCCTGACAATGATGATGTCTCAGTTGATCCAACTTTCTTTCGAAAGAGTGAGCGGACGGATCTTCAACCACGTGCTGAGTTAATAAATTCCATTTGTTGATGATTCGATAGGAAAGTCGATAGTCGGATAACAAGTAATTTGTCCAGTGCTTGTGAACTTCTTTGAAGTATCGTCGTAAGTTCTCTGCTTTGGAATAAGAAAAAATGATGGCACACTGGGTGCAAATTTATCAATAAGCAGCTTTAAAACTGTAGTGAAGTCACCTATAGTTTTTCGATATGACAACGGAAATAGGATTAGCTTGGCCAGATGAGCTTCGCTATTCCGGAAATTGACTAGGTTGCTGCACTCTGGACCTTTTCCGAAAACTTAATGTATTTTTTAGGCAAAGGCTAGTTGCTTGTATGCATTGCTTATGTTTGGAACGCACGAGCACTGCATACAAAGTCAAAATGTTTTCAGCACCGACATGACTAAAGGCCCTACGTATTGACCACAAAGTTTTAAAATTTTTGGCGGCTACTGCACGGCAGTGTGCAGTAGTCTATAAGTCTTCGATAACGATGAATCCTAAGTCGTTGTGTGTCTGGACAGCAGATATCTCAGTGTTACTCATCGTGTATGTATCAATGCCTTGACGACCGATATGCATCACAATACACTTGGAAGTATTTATCGGCAACTCCCAGTTTTGAGACCAGTCAGATAATTTTTCCAGGTCAGTTGGGAGTTCTAAGCTATCACCTTTACTTCGTATCGCTCTCCATATCTTTACACCGTCGGCATAAAGCAAGACCGATGATGATAGAAGACGAGAAAGGTCATTCACATACCAGAGGAGTGACAATGGCCCCAAAACTGTGCGGTGGTGCACTCCACCAAGCACAGTTTCTCAGCTAGACAACTTGTAGTTCACCCGTACTCTTTGTTAGCGCCAAACTGAGAAGTCTTTTATCCACATCAACAGATTGCCTCCAACCCCGAAATTTCTTAACTTATATAACAGCCGGTTGTGTAGAACTTTGTCAAAATCTTTGCTGAAGCCAATGTAGGCTACGTCTTCAGGTAGCTTTTGGTTCTTAAGAGCCTTCACGAGCCACTAATAACTTAGTGAGACAAGAATAACTTATTCTAAAACCATGCTGCTTCTCCGAAAGGATCCGGTTTTCATAGAGGAACTTAAAAGCTCCTTTCGAATAATCTTTTCTAAGATTTTAAAAACTACACTAGTCATGCTAACGGGTCGGTATTTCTCAGGTTTATGTTTCGTACCTGTTTCGAAGACTGGACTTACTGTGGTGATCTTCCGGTCTTTTGGTAAAGGACCCTGGGTTACGGATAGATTAAAGCGTATACTTAAAGGGTTCGCAACGAAGTTAGCCAATTCCTTTAGTAACCTAGGATACAGCTCATCGGGTCCTATGTCTAGATTATTTAGCACACCAAAAACATAGAGTTTTTTAATGGTTTAGCCGTTCAGTGTTTGTTTAACGGGATTTGCATGGACTGACGGGGTGTTTCTATGGTGTATATATGGCTAAAGTAGTTCGAGAATACTTGATCTTTACCAAAGTTATCCACCATTAATGATGAAGCAGTACCGAAGTAGTACCGAAATATTTCCTCATCCATGAATGGGGAGTTTCTCAACTCCCTTGGTGTAGTCCAAGGGATGTTAAGTAGAGTAACTTTTAAGTATAAATTTCTAAATACCTCTCAAGCCGTTTCAATCGAGGACTCTGGCTCTATTGTTTAATCTACTAACGATGTTGAGTGTATTATACCTTGCGTATTTGCTTTCCAGACCTTAGGTCTGGATTGAGCTGACGAATGCTCGTGTTAAACAATTATATGGAAGTCAAAGGTCAGAATTGTATTATCAATTTTACGTAGGAGTGTCATTTAATCGAGGTTCGTAACGTCATTCCCATAATGCGTCAATATTGGACCTGGTAAGGATAATTCATAGTCCAGGTCGTAACTATGAAAAATAACTGACCTGTTTAGTCTTCAATTTCCCGACTACTTTATTTTGTGGAGAGAGAGGATTTTCTTTTATACCGTTATGTCGTTTCTTGCTTACGACCTGTACCCATTCATCAACCTTCGTTAGGGTAGCAACCACAGTCACGTCAAACATATAGTGTAATTCCGGAGGGTTATCGACGACTTGGGAAGTCGGATTTTGTTTCCTGCTAGAAACAGATCGACCCTTGAGATTGCGATTTCTAGATGAGAAGTTCCACTTGTTGATAATTTGACATGAAAGTCGGTTTACAGTGATGAATAAACTTATTCTGGACTAGCTAAACTTTCCAGAGTATCCTCTTAATTTCACCGTTTTGGATAGCAAGAAAAGTACTGGCATGTCAAATGAGAAATCACAAATTTAAAGGCTATGGTAGTCACATTTAGTCCTTCTGTACGATAAAGGGAATATTCTTAGTTTAGCCGGCCTCTCATAATAAGGCAGCGTTATGATTATGGTAATTACCTTAATTGTGATTTTTCGAATCTTTTACTACAGATTACTTCGCCCTGGGGATGATGGGGTGTGCTACTTGTAGGCGAATTGGAGTTTGGGTAAAAAAATTCTCAAAATCAGTAGCTCTGTAAGTCTTCGTCATTTAATGTTGAATGCATTGGTTTTAATCGACTCAACTAGCTGAAGACGCCCGGTCACACATTCACATCAGATCACGAGTGGGCAAGCCGCGATGCATATCTCTCATGGTCGCCAACCAGCTAAGATTAGTCACTTTTTGACAAATCGATATTCTCTCGATTAAATCTCCAAGTCTTTTCTGACTTCTGGTTTCACTGGGTTGACACGGTCTGATTACAAAGGTTGTTTCTGGTTAAGGTGTTGTCAAACTCTGAATACTTGTGGCATCTGTGACTGCACTCCAAATTAAAAAGGTTCTGGCATCGACTTGGTCGGAGGCCCCACATAGTTACACAAGGGCACCAGAGAGTGCAGTGGCTGCCACATGGTAATGTGTAGTAGTCCCGATTCGTGGCAAACGATGACCCATCGGTCACTATGCGTCTTCATAACAGATTGATCAATGCTTATCGTTGTGTGTGTACCTATACCATAGTGTTCAATATGTGTTGTAGTTCCATTGTAATAATTTATCACGCTTTTTGGGAGGAGCAGATTTTCTCCTACATACTTAGATAACTTCTCTCAAATTATCTTTACTAAAATTAGAATCACTACTCTGATTGGGCTTCCCGAATGAAAATTCTGAGGTTTTTATCTCATATCTTTTTCAAGATGGGACTTACTATGACGTCCCTACAGTCTGTTGGTAACTTACCTTGGGTTACAGATAAATCAAAAGAAATGCTCTGATGTTATGCAGTAGAACTTGACAGTTGAGTTAAAATTCAGGGTAAAGTTCGTCATGTTTCATCGATTTTCCTTACTTTCTACGCATTTGTAAATATGTTATTTATTCACATTTGTAAAGTAGTTTTAAAAGACATTAACTTTATCGTTGTCGTCTTCTACTGATGTTGTAGTCCAGCCGTCTCTATATAATACAGTGATGACGCTGCCCCTTCTTTGTTCCCCAAGTTATATGCCAATGAACGCGCTTTATATGTCCTACGCCATCCTTAACAAGCTCTTTCTCAAACTATCTTCTAGACTTATTTGCACCCAAAGCACAAATATTTGTCTTTCCAATATAAAAACTTCTTACCAGTGCCCAGTAACCTAAGTCTCTGTCACATTCTTTTCTCTTAAAAAAACATAACTGTTTAGATGGACACATACGGTGTATTCTATGAATGCATAGGTGACTGTCTAACTTCCTCTAGGAGGATCTGTGATTGAAACGGTCGTTCAAAATTTTCAAATGGAATCAACTCATAATGTGAGAAGAGATAGAATAAGAGTATTCGCTCCTTGAATAAAAGTGATTTGAGGATTATCTCATGTGTTGAAGTGATGGTCTTTTCCCAAAACTCTAATGTTAAGAAGAGTCAAATACTCTACGTATTGAATGCTGTTATTAGGTTTCCTCTTTCCCCTCTAATCCCTGACGTTATTCATTTTAGCTGATAAAGCTATTACTCACATGACGAATTTCTTAATTTTGTCACAGTCACCTCACAGATGTGAGAATGTCTGAGCATATTTGAAGTTTCAAAACTTTAGTGGATGCAAGTTTATATATATATATATAATACATATCCAAGATTAACAAACATTCATTCTTTCAAGTAGCATTTAAGATAGTAATTTTGAGGGTTTCTGTAAACTTGATAAGTAGATAGATGTGTAATATTTTGTCCAAATTTTTAATAAGATCAACGTCATTATAGAAAATCAATGTTACATCGTTTACACCAAGGCAATTAGTTTCTAACGGTGAATTTGATCATGCTTATTAGTTCATACCATCATGACAATAGAGAGTTCCAAATGTGTGACAAGGGCAAACAGGCTGTAATTTGTGATTCGCAGTACTTTCTCAGGCTATCGTTTAGCGGCCAAGAGGAAGAATACTTACTCCTATCTTTCTAGGCATGTTCTTGATTTGACCGTATCAAAAGCCGAAGTTATCAAGTTTTTTTTAAGCATGAGGATCATAAGAAAAAAGGAGTGGAAGACAGTTGAGGCTCGAAGGAACAATAAGTGAGCATGAGGTTCAAAGGTACTACCCATATGAATACATTTTGACTTGAAATAAATGAAGATATAAAACGTTTGATACGTTTTTTTCAAAGAGTATGGTAATGGAAAGTAAGATACAGATTGATTAGAATGACATTTC